TAGAGTCTTTTCTGTAATGACTGGATAAAGCACAAGTGACAGTGATGTGCCACGACTTGGGTCTCCGCTGCCCTCCGGAGGGAGGGGGCACTGCTGAAGCTTTCTGTGAGCGAATCCTGATCTGCCTCTGATCTCTGAATCTGTCTCTGAGCTGGTGTTCGCTGCTTTGTGCTAACTTTACCCTGCTGCAGGATAAATCAGATTACCTCCTTCAACTGGCTTACCCCATGGCCCCTTCAGTGCTAGAGGAAAAGCCAGGGTTAGGCTGGGAGCAGGAGGCTTCTGACTTTCCTCTATGGTCTGTTACTACATATAGCAAAAAAAAATTACTGTTTTCATTTAATTGGGATAGGAGATATCTACAGAATCTCTTAGGGCCCTTAGAAGTCTCTCTGGTCCTGAAGATCAGCAAACAACAACTTCTGGTTGTGGATGTAAAAAATGACCATTTTTATCAGTGCCAATCTCCATATTTTTTTGAAGATGCATTTTTAAAAGTACTCTACATGAGCTGCAGAATGTACATGCGTTTCAAAATTCTAATCTCTTACTGAGGTAAGAAGAAATGTAAAGACTGAGGTTTTGGAAGATAGGGTGGGGATGTTGGGAAAATGGAGGAGAATCAAGCCCTTATGGAAATGCAACACATCTCTGGTTGAGGGGACAAAACACATCATTTTCCGTGCAAGGCCACTCTTTTCTCTAGTTAATTGAAATGAAAAGAAACCACTCCAACTATCCACTTTTTAAAAAGACGATAAAATCGTAGGATTTCCTGCTGGCCAATTTGTTACACTGTGCTGATTTAACCACTATCTTCTCCAGTTTTATGCCAGTGGTATTTCCCATGAAGTTTGAAGGATGAGGACTCCATGGCTGGATGTTACCATGCTGCATTTGCTTGGACTGTAAATGCTCTTCTGAACGTTGGGCTTTGATTATCCTGGAGATTGAATGCTTGCCTTATTTGATTTGACAGGGACTAATGTTTTATAGTATATTTTAAAAATGAAGTTAATGTTTTATAGAAGACCTGATACCTGAAAATAATTAATGTCCACTGTGCCCTATAGATTGTAGTGCAGTTACTTTTGAAACTATCCCTTTTAACTGATTAACCATTTTACTTCCAGGAAATAAGATTAAATTTCCATATGAAGATACAGAAATTAAATAAGTTAGCCATTCTAGAACACTATCAATGTAGGAAAAGTTTGGGCTTTCTCATCATGGGCTATGACTTTCTTCTAAGATATATGGTCTGAAACATTTCTACATGGTAATATATATTTAAAAAATTAGTTTAAGAAAATCACATTGGTTGCCATTGGCTGCTGTTATTACTGTATAGTACTGTCATCTGTAAGATAGAGAAAACAATGTAATAATTAAAATTAAGAGGGCATACAGAGACCCGATATGTTTGATGAACCAAAGTATCTTTCTGTCAGTAATTTATTAATCTGATGCCTTATTGAATAGTTTTTCCACCAAAAAGACCCCAAACAACTTTCCTGCCCCCAACTGTATCCCAAATCAGTTAGAAGGAATAATCTACAAAACTATGGAAAAATTAGCAAGGACAAGCAGGTAGGGAAAAATAACTTAGAAATACACTATCAACAATTCATAATTAGGTGCTTCCAAAACAAGTTAACATAGTTGAGAAGTAAGGCATTAGCGCTGCACTGACTTTAACCGTATGTCATCTAAAGGCAGTGCTAGTGAATGGAAACAGTAAAGTCACTGAGGTTAAACATTTAAAACTTGCTGATGTTAGAGGTGACAAATAGCTGGAGAAATAGATAAAATAGACACTCAGTCACTGATAAAGAGAAGATAGGTTCATTAACTGAGCTGAGTTCAGGCACACAATATATTTTTCAGCCTACCCAAATACAATTTTGTATCTTGAAATCATAAATGAACACTATATTTCCATCTTTATTCCAAGAAGCAGTTATACTTTAATAACAAAACCCTCTTTCCCGAGAACAGGGAATCGCAGTCATCAGTTGAAACTGGACTCATGCTGTTATACTTTGGCCAAAAGGCCTCATACATCCAAGAGTTGCAGTATTAAGGTTATATTATCGCCGTATTTGGCGTTGTTCTGAAAAAGGCTGGAATGCTAGTTCCAGATGGGTGTACTTCAAGAAGGACATTGAAAACTGGAGATGATTCAGGGTAGGGTTGTAAGAATGATGAAGGAATTGGAAGTGTGCTGTATGGTGAAAGATTTAGAGCTCAGTCTGCTTAGTTTAGCAAAAGTGTGGTTAAGAGATCATTTGATCACAATCTTAATGTATTCATGTGGGGAGCAGAAATGTGATAATAGATAGCTTCTCCATCTAGCAAACAGAAGTAAAATAAGAACCAACAGCTTGAAGTTGAAGTCAGCCAAATTAGTTTGGAAATAAGTTGCAAAATTTGAACAGGGAAGGCAGTTAAACACTGGAACAACTTACCAATAGCTGTGATGCATTTGCAAACACTGGAAATACCATAATTAAGATTGCATGTCTTTCTGAAAGACTCACTGTAGCTTAGGAACAAGTGTTAAATGTGAAGTAGAAATTGATGCAGGGGAGCCTGTAATATTCAGGAATCGCAATACTCACATCCTTCTATAAAGTCCAGGACTTTATTTGCGGTGCAGCAAAGTGGTTAATTTCTGCTCATTTTGCTTCTGTTTTAACCATTGGGAGAATTTTTAAGGTATTTCTACATGGCACAGTGTGGTGCAGGTATCCACACTGACCCACTTGATCAACAAGCTAGGATGGGTACTAAAAGCACCAAAGCTATGCTAGCATTGTTTCCCACCAGGAGTGATGTATAGTGTTTTTTAGCAGGGCTGAGATGCTTGTATGCAATGCTTGGTGAGCACAGCTGCTTGCTCACTTGCTCACTTGCTCACTCTTAACAAGCTCCTACAGGCAAGGAATCCTTGAAGTCCCTGGGAATCATACATGAAAATAAAAGATTTCTTATGTAAGAGAAGCAGATTTCCAAAATGACATAATATCCCCTCCTTTTATTTTATTATTTACATGGGTTCAATTTGAGAACAGATAAATTCAAGCAAGAAAAGTTATCAGTTACTTGGAGCAAGAAACCATATTGGACTCAACAGTTGGTGGCTGGGAGATAGTGAAGGAACACATTAAAGGCACTATTCTTACTCTTTCCTAAACATCAGATTGTCTCCATTGTGGAAACAGGATACTGGACTGCTGGATTACTGGTCTGATCCCATGTGGATTTTTTTATATGTGTTCTAACAGTGTCTGTTTTGTACTATTAAATTCTGAGAAACCAGATCTGCAACTTTAATGAAAGCTTGTAATGTTTCAGAGTGTGAACCTCTCAGAACAAATATATGCAAAAGAATCTTTGTTTAAAATAAGAGGATTATAAAAAAAACTTTAAAAATTGATTATTTATATCAGTTTTACCATAGCAACTTAAAACTGATTGTATCGGTTTTGTCATATCAACTTAAAAGTGGAGTGTACATTTTGTTTGTTGAACTGTTGTTTTGATATATTGGACAGATTTATAGTGCAGTTAATGCCTCTGCTCTTTAGATATGAGTTTCCAGTGCTGGCAAAAGAAATTCAAGAAATCAGCCTACGTAACTGTGGATTACTTTCCAACTGTTGAAATGCCTTTTCCTGTCTTGTTTAGCTCTGAGTGTTGTCAAACCACTTCATAGTACAGTATATGGATCATCTTGTTTATACGCCTGTGACTTGCCAGTACATCTGTGGATGAGCAGCTTAGAGCCATTGATTGAGTCATCGCTAGAAAAGCAAAAGAATTAGAAAAGTACTTGAATCAGAAGGAAAGCTCTACAATTAAGGCATTGCCGTTATGTATTCTATTATGTAGACAACACGGAGCTGCCTGACTGGAGAATGTGCTGGTGTTGACATTAGATTGAAGATCACAGCATTAAGAAAGTTTGACCTGATACCTAGCACTGTCTTGGGCTTTTCCACTTTATGACTAATGGTACATGACATACTTATCTTAAAAAATCAGACTGTAACTGTTTTTGAAAGACTAACATACACCTTATTCTGATTTTTTCTTTCCGATGTGCATCTTTAGAAGTTCATGAAACTTTTTAATGCACCTTGTGAAATTATAAGATGTTTATTACGAAAAGTGAGACTTTGCTGCCATATTTCTGACCAAAGGTATATGATATTGTTCGATTCTAGGCAATTTAGCATGTAGTTGCAATAAACTTCAAGATATCTGGGTGTGCTGAAGCTTTATACTCCCATCAGATAAAAAACATTTTTCTTTCATAGTTATGTTTCACAATGAATCCAGTTTGGTTTTTGATTAAAAGGTGCTTACATCAGCTTCTGTATGTATTGTACTACGTAATTATTTATAGAGTGGATCACATAAAACTGCACAAACATTTAAATTTAAAATTAGAAAAATGTTGCTTGTAATTGCCATGTAAAACTTAAATAAGCAGCATTAGCAAGAAAACAATCATGTGGATTAAAATTTTTATTTAACAGTTTTACTTTCTGAATAGCTAGCATTCATGACTTTACCTAGGATCTGGTTGTGCAGAGGTATGTATCAGTGAAGGATTTCTTTACATGTGTGTGTTTGAGTATTTTCAGGATCCAAGTTTTTACTGATTTCTTGGTAAAATCCTTATTCTCCTTCAGAAATGTTACAGTTTGTATTGATAAGGTAAATTCATATTCAGTAGAATCAATTTTTATTCTTGATATTTGCTTAAAATGGAGTAGAAGTTGCAAACGCTTCTATAGTAAATATAAAAATATCCTATTAATTACTCCATTTAGACTTTTAGGATGATTCCTCTTTCAGTGAAAATGCAAGAGGGGAAAAGTAGCTACATTCTAACACTGTTAATAATGTCATAAGTTTCACATATTCCATAGGTAAGAAATCACAAGAGCTGTAATTTGATTACATTTTTGGGGTTTGTTTTTCCTTTGTAGTCGGTGGTGAAGACTGGGCGATTGCTGATTAGCCATGAGGCTCCCTTGACAGGAGGATTTGCATCTGAAATCAGTTCCACAGTTCAGGTACAGAGGTTATTTGTATTTGTAAGTGTTCTGCATGGCTGAATATGTTTACCTAGAGAAAGAATATTTATTACTACATTAAAAGCTGAGTTTTTCATATTTTAAAAACTACTTTTTTTTACATTTTTATTAAATTTCAGTTTTTAGATGCCTGTGTTACTTTACCTGAACATCTGAGAAACCACGTACCTACCAGGCACCATGCATAGCATCTGCTAAGATAGCAAATTTAACTTTCACTGAAAAGCAGGGAGGATGTGCTGTCAGGTGCAAAGGAAAAATCTTTATGTATAGTCTATTTTTCATGCACTTTTTTTACCTTTCTCATGTTTTTATCCACCAAACTTCTTAAAAATATGTTCTAGGAATGTTGAACTCAGACGCAAGAAAAAGTACCCAGGGCCAGTACCATATAATGTGGTGTTAGACATAGTGTTCAGAGACCGCATTAGGAAAGCATTCGGCGAAAGTGGTTCATGTATAGTTGTGGTGATACTCATACATGTATAGAGCTTGTCTGCACAGAACAGCTTTGGAAGATTGAGATGTACAACAGTACCAGTTGTCTGGAGCGTTAGGCTTTAACTTTTTTGAAAGTCCTTTTGAGATCTCTGACACATTTTTATATGTGTACTTGCATACAGATTTTCCCCTTCACTCGATTTCTTTCCTATGCACATCAGTGATACTGGTTTATAGAAACATGTAAATTGTGTCCATCACTGTCTGATTACTACTGATTGCCAGTAGTTAAATTATAGAACTAGAGAGAAATGGGATTCTAAAACTCACAAAATATAAGCCATACAGGCAGTAGTGAAAGCTTGTGAATTAGCCTTTTTGTAGGAAAGAATAGAGTTAATTGTTATTTCATTAAAATAGGTTTAGTAAAGTCATAAGGTACTGTCAGCCATCAGGGTTGAAAGTTATTTTTCTTAAATTCTTACAAAAATGTGAAATCAAGCAAAAGAACCTGTCTTTTAGTGTCTTCTGGTATTATCGACACTTGAGGAGAAAACTATTCTAAGCCATGCAGCAATCTTGTGATTTACTGGCATAACAAAGGAAAGCATGTGTGTTGGAGAGAAAAGGGAGTTCAAAAGAAACAAAAAAGCTTATCAGTAAATATTATTGGAAGATTCATTGCACAAGATGTTCAATATATTGCTGAAACTACAAAATTAATTTTTAATCTCCTCAGACCTCCACTAAGAAAGGATTGATCCATCCTGGGTTTGATTTTCAGATCAGAGATGTATCTTGACAAATATCACTTACTTAAAAAACAAAGTTTAAAATGCTTTAATAGAAGACTATTTATTTCTGTTGAAATTGAAAGCTAATGCTTGCTTCATGATAGTAGCTCATAATTTTATATGAATATTTTTTAGGAAACTAGGATTTGTGTTTTGAGAAATATGAGTTAGTTAATCACACGTGCTACCTGAGAATAAATTGGAATATAACTCTTTGGCATTGAATTTATCCATAGCCAGTTTCTTTAATATAAATTGGTTGAATTGAACCCCTGTTACAACCATATTGTCATTACTCTTTATACCCATTCTTGAAGATTTTTATCATCCGTACTAAAATTTTGATTCCAGTTATTTTTAAGAATATTCATACCGCAAAAGAGATTAGAATAATATTTATAAAGCATTACAACTTTTTAAAGAACGGTATTGCTTTAGGCATAATAAAGACCTTGCTTGTTTTATTCAGTTAAAACACTTGATCCCTAAATGATCAAGTTAAGTCCATATGTCTAATATCACTGTGCAGTAAAAATAAGAAATGAAAATTTAAATTCTCTTTTGCTGGATACAATGCATACTGAGCATGCCAAAAATCGGGGATTGCAGTTGGCTTTAGTTTCCTCTTACACATGGAAGTAATAAGACTTCAATAAAGTGTGTCCAGTTGGATTAGATGGTTAGTTTCCATATTGTTATTCCATCCTTGCTGTGAGGTCTCTCATCATAGCAATAAGGTGAATAAAAGTACATAGGTTATTTTAAAAGTTAGCTGTCACAAACACTTCATGGTGATGTACACTTCAAGGAAAAGACTACGAGTGGAAACGATGGCTTTCACTCATGAACTATAGCAGAAAACTGTAATGAACAGTTTTCTTTTTGCATATGAGAGATTAAAAGCAGTGTTCAGAGAGCATATTAAATAAGATCTGATCTGTATCAAATACAGAATATTTTAAAGGGGCACATTATTTCATTAAGTAGCCACTTCGATTTCTCAAACACAAAAATCTAAGCACAAGATGGAGTAGTTAAAACTCCATGTGATATGACTTTGCCCTTTGTACTGATGTTTCATATATGATCTCAGTGGGTATTCTGAAGTGAGCAACAGGTGATAGGATAAATTCAATACCAGTACAGTTAATATTTCATATTGATTATATTCTGTATAAAAGCTTTCAAAACTGTCATGTTCAGCAGAAAGGGCACTAACCTTCTTTTGCTCAAGGCATGTGGTTGGAGCACAGTTTGAGAAGCCTTGGAGAAGGGCCCACTGAGATGTCACTTCCAAAATAATGAGGCATTGGGTGTGGAAATCATCAGTGCATTATTCACTTGTGATATAAAAGAATGTAAGTCCAGTATTTGTGTCCCTGAAAAAAAAAAGGGTGAAAAAAAGAGAGAAACAGGATGTTTTCAAAGGAGGATGAGAGAAGGGGAAAAAGGGAAACAGGAGTAGATTATGTTAAGTTGTATGATAAAAGGCTCATCACACAAAGGAGGTGCAAAGAAGCCCAGAGGCACAGCAGCAGGCAGGGGAACCCCAATAACTCAGTCTGGGAAGCAGAGCCCCCGACTCAGCTCCTGCCAGGGCTGTCCCCAGCCTCTGCCCCATGGGCCAGGGGTAGGTTACGTGAGCCAGGTGTGTGTGTGTATATACGTGTGTGTGTGTCAGAGTGAGTGTGCTGCAGAAGTTGGCTATGGGAGGAACCAGGATGTCCAAGCCAGCTACTAAAGAGACTGTGGGGTCTGGAGTCAACTGAGACCCCCATTGGTGTGTATGTGGCAGTGAGACAGACAGCTGGGGAGATCGAGGATCCAGGGCAAGCTACGGGAAAGACTACGGTGTCGAAGGCCAGTTACGACAGGGAGATGCAGTCTGTGTGTGTCTGTGGTGGTGTGTGAGTTAAGGTGGATGTCTGTCCCAGCAGCTGGAGTGGGACTGTGGATAGGGGCTTGTGTGTGCGGGTGCAAGCAACAGGAGAGGCTGAGGATCTTTGTTTTAGGAATTTGCATCGGGGTAATGCAAGTGCATGTTTTATTATTCTACCTTTTACTTCTGTTGATCTTCTAATCATTTTAACTAATTGGTAATGTTTCATCTTTTAAGTGTCTTCTGTTCCAGAGCTACTTAATGGGTGAGGTTGACCAACCCGTATGCATGTTGTTTCTCTAATTAAAGCAATGTTTCTGAAATTAGGTTAAGCCCTAATCGATGGCTGTCTTTCAGTAGTGCGCCTGTGGTAAAAAGCTACCTTACAGAGCAGCAGCTTGCAGTCCCACTTCCTCTTTATCATTCTTGTCATGTCGAAAAAATGAAGATGATGGTGTGACACAATTTCAGAAAGAAGTGCAAGACTTAATAAGGGACTATGAAACAATAGATTCTACAAAGGAAAGGAACTCAGCTGCATGAAGACCTAATCCTTGATTTTAGAAGTCTTCCATGCTTGCAATGGTTGATAGCACTTTTATCAGATCTCTTTATTTGTAACTGCTGCTGTGTCATCACCGTTTCAATTTAATTTGCCATGTTTTGCCTTTCTTGCAAATACAGGGATTATTATTCTAGGTTTCTTTAACTGGGATGAGCCTTTGAGCTCATTGTAAAAATTTCTATTGATCTATTTGTAGAAAGATGAGTTCCTTCTGAGTGGAGCACTCCTGTTGAGCTTGCAGTGTAACAGGGGTAAGAAATCCAAACATAAAGCTGTAATCCTGCAGTAACCCACCATCATAATTTGAAGGAGTGCTGTAGATGATAAAGGTTTTGGTTTCAACAATGAGTCATTATTGAAAGGCTCATCTAGAACTAACTCAAAGGTGATCTTTTTTTCTTTAAGAAGTCATTACCATAATCTTTTTGTATTATTTTGAAATTACTTATCTTTTACTCTAGGATGTAATATATTAGAAAGCTAAACTTACACTGAAGGTATTCTGCATTTTATTGTGGCCTAAGCAACATACTAGATTTGAAGAGCATTCTCAGATTCTGTTTGAGAAAGGAGTTAAATGAAACTTTTTTCCTTCCTCTAAAAGCAGGTGGCCACATAATATCTTAGAAGAGAGTTTTTGAAATTTGTGTGTGGCTGAAAATTTCATGGCAATGTAAACAATGCTATATGATATTTCATTAAAAGCATTTTGAGTTATACAATTTTGAGAAAATTTTCATGTAAGTCTGAAACAAATAGCTTTTGTTTTTAAAATTGAATTTTTAATAGTAATATAATATTCAGTTCTTGCCATTTGCTGGCTTTATGTAGCTTCTGTTTATGATAGAATGTGCACATATTTTGAACATTAGAGGCAGTTCTGCTTATTTCTGGCACATTTGAGTCCAATAAATAGCAACTGCTTGACCGCAATTATTTGTCAGCACTGAATTGGCATAGTACAATATGCAGTTTTCTTTCTTGTTATTCAAGTCACCTTTCTTGGCCTTCTTTATCCAAACTCTTTTACAAAACCTGTACTACTGTTTTGAGAGGTGAAGGCAACTTGGTGGAGAATATATTTAGAAATTGGAAATGGAGGAAAAGAGAATTAAGAATGCTGAGGAAATGTATAGGTTGTTGCTGAAGATATGTGCCTGTTGGGAAAGGATTAGGATCTGTGTACTGACTAGTGGCTTGATTTTTTCATTTCCTGGTTTTTAGGACTTGTACATCAAATGTGTTTGTTGTACCGTTCCTGCTTTCTATGGGGCTATATGTGGGAAGGTTGTATTATGGT